TTGAAGTAAAGTTAAATACCACCAGTATTTAAAATGCCTTTACTATAATCTTTACTATAGATCTGACTATAATCCAGAGACTCTTAAGCCTCATGCCCTCATTTCAAGCTATATTTGATAAAAGAAAATTAATTTGAAGACAAATCTGTGTTCTCTTTGCACTTTATAATGATTGTTTATTTTGGTTACTGAATAGTCAGAGATCTTTATGATGAATCCTGGAAGTCTATAGAACTATACCACCAAAGGCCTGGATGGATACATATTCTATCTAGTTCATCTATATTATGTTATGTTCCCCCTCCCCACCAACCCCCATGAAGGGAGTTCTGTTTAAACATCACTTGAGAATTAGTTTCTAGTTTAAGGCAAAACAGATGTTGTTAAACCACTCAGAATTGGGATCTTTTAATATTAAACACTAATTCCCAAATAGGTCAAGTGCTTTTGGTGGAAGGTCTAGACAGACTGGTGTCAAAAGCTTTAGTGAACTTGCTACATAAATTGAGACCACCACTGTATACCAGACATTTCTTTGCAAATATATCCATTTCTCATCTTTGGTTCCTTCTGCTCTTAAAGAGATCGCTGATAACAGTTTGTATAGTTAATTCCTCTGTACTACAAAAGTAATTACTTTTCCTCATACCCTGTTCGTTCTTGCCAGTGCACATATACTGGATTACTAATGTTCCTCCTTTTTTCCCTTTGGCAGAGGAGATTGAAGTGGATGTTGAAAGCACAGAGTTCTCCCATGGAGAAGTGGACAATATCAGTACCACCAGCATCAGTGACATTGATGACCACAGCAGCCTGCAGAGTGTTGGGAGTGACGAGGGTTACTCCAGTGCCAGTGTCAAACTTCCGTTCACTTCCTAGAACCCAGCATGACATGACAGTGCAGGGCAAAATACTCACTGGGCCAATTCAATCCAAACAATCTCTTAAATTGGGTTCATGATGCAGTCTCCTCTTTAAAGCTAAGCAAAACTATACTTGAACAAAAGGGTCGAGAGGCCTCTATTTAAGCAAATACTTAGCAAAAAGTGGGGCAGAGCCTCCCCAGCAGAACAAATATTCATAATATTCATATTTGAAAATCACAGTTTCTAATGGCAGCAGAAAATGTGTGTGAAATTTTCTCAATTTGATTTAGTTGATTTGAAAGAGGACACTGGAGATTACATCCTCTTTTTCTAGTTTCTAGTTTGCTCCTATCACATTGATTGAGTAGACACATTTAAGGATGGGATTATGAACCCTTCCCGAGCTCTTTGTTCCTAAAAACAAACAAGAATCAAACCTATAGTAATGACAAGATAATCAGGCATTAATCTTGGATAGCTAAAAAGCTATTAAAACAGTCTAGGACAGCTTATCATGAAGCCTGTGGATGATCTTTATAAAAAGGAAAAAAAAAAAAAAAAACTCATTTCATGCTCTGCAAAAGGAGAGACTCCCATGAAGCCTTTTGAAAGGGATCATCATGCAGCTCAGCTTTCTGTTGGATTCCATGCTAAGCAAGCTGACCTTATCCTGCATTGTTAGCACTAGGGCACCCAATCGCCAGCTCGACAGTCAGCCGCCCTTAGGCTGTTGGGCACACGGGGCAGTCCCTGTGCGTGACAGCCTCTACCATGCAGGGCCTGATTTCGGACTGAGGGGCCAGAAGGAAAAAGCTTCACGTGCCTCTGTGTCTGCGTGGGCCAGAAGAGTTGTACATGCAGATTAGCAGGCCAAGGTCTGAGCCACGGCAGCATTTTTATTTCAGATTTTGATAACTGTTTGTATGTGTTGAAAACCAAAATGACATCTTTTTAAAGCTTGTCCATAAAAAACAAAAGACGTCTTTTATAGTGTAAAACACATGGGAAAAAAATCATCTATTTTGATGCAGCATTTGATAATGATAAAACACCTCACACCTCACTCTTTATAGTGCACAAAATGAATGAGGTCTGGGCTAAGTAGAAAAAAGGTCAGTGCTGTTTTGTTTTCTTTTAGAATCATTACCTTATATCATCTCTTAACCATCTGATATCTATAGTAGACACACTATCATAGTTAACATAGTTAAGTTTGGCACTTGTCTCATTTTAATGTAAAGATTTGCTTCCGTTTTCCTACAGGCAGTCTCTCTCCTTCCTCACAGCCCCATTGTGCAGGTGCTATTGTTGCTTTTGTCAATATTTTCAGAAACGTTATTTTAAGTGAAATTTCTAGCCTGCACTTTGATGTCATGTGTTCCCTTTGTCTTTCAAGCTCCAAGGTTCTCCCCGGCCCACCCCCTTACCCTGGGAAGCCTTGGAGACCTTACTCTTTGGACTTTGTATACTTTAAATAATTTAACTACCCTTAATTACTTAAAAAAGGAAAAAAAAAGCTTTATGATTTTCATAACTTATTGCTGATTTTAATGGGTTAATTTCAGTCCTGTAGTTTTATTTTGTTTAGATAGGGCTGGGCAAAGAAAAAGAAAATAAAGACAACCATATTTAGCAGTGCAGTTGAGTTGTGTGTATAATGTTAAACTATCCTTTGTAAGTAGCACTTTTAACAGCTCTCACTGCTTCTATATATGAAGTGAACCATCTTGGTCATATACAAGGCCTCATCATAAACTTATTTGTTCTTGTGTTCTTCCTGTGCCTCCAGAAATATTTTATCCTTGATTGTGGTATGTTTGAGTGAAAGAAATTCTTTGAAGTAGATGTGTGAAAAACTGCATGCCTTTAGAAGCCCATTATTAGAACTTGCTACTTCAGGTGCTGGGGACTTAATGCAAAATATGGTAAAAGAAATTTGTTTCTGTGGCCCAGGTAAATTATTTCTGGTTTCATTTATAATTACTCCTGGCCAAGTCAAAATATTCCTCTATATGCTTACTTTTGACTTTCCCAAGGCAGACAGTTTGAAGACTGCTAACTACCATGGAAAGTAAATGGAAGCCAGTGAGTGTTTCTGTTTTGTTATTCCCATGGCATTCACTTGAATCACTTGCCTAGGGCTGGAATTTAGGACTTCATTTAGGTGAACTTGAGGCGCTGCCATTTTGCTGTATATGTACAGGATGGTGGGCTGGGAAGCCTTTGTCACAAACCTATAGGACCTATTTCAACTGCCCCCTAAATTACTCCTTCCCTGAATTTGTTTTCCTTGGGGGAAGGGAATGGATTGTATGATGAGTAAGTATTAATTTTTTAAAAGACAAACTGACTTTGAAGATACAAAAAGTTAACTGCAAGAAATAAAAATTGTGAATGAAGAATACCCGAGTGCTTTTTGTACCACCCTTCTCTACGAAGGAAAAAATACGAGTGAACATCCACGCCTTGAGAGGCAACTCTCTCTCTCAGTGTCCATGTTGATACTACTTCAGTGGTCGGAATTAATGGCAGTTTGAAATCACTGCCATTTCCTATTCTATAGTTTTACAACAGGTGCCTTCTTGACTGATAATTCCATGTAAACTAACTACAGATGGTTTAATGTACCAAATAATCTTAATTTCTTCAGGCAGGACACAGAGCCATTTATCATTATCTGTTCTCCAAATAACTTTTTAGGGAATCCCTTTGGCTATATACTATTATTCAAATTGAAAACCAGTCTGGAGGGCCCCATTTAATGCTAACCTGAGTTAACACTGCCCCCTATATAAAAGATCTGCGTGCTATGATGTGTGCTCAGTTACTCAGTCATGGCGGACTCTTTGAGACCCAAAGGACTGTTGCCCGCTAGGCTCCCCTGTCCATGGGATTTCCCAGGCAAGAATACTGGAATGAGTTGCCATTTCCTCCTCCAAGGGATCTTCCTGACCCAGGGATAGAACCAGTTTCTCTTGCGTCTCCCACATTTTCAGGTGGATTCTTTACCACTAGTGCCACCTGGGAAGCAACAACAGCTTTTAGTACTATGAAGGGATTTTAAAAGACAATGAGAATTACTGAGGCAAAGCTTCTAAACCTAAGGCCACACAGATGGTTTCCTGGGTCATTTCTTTTGAGAACTGTTTACCCTCTAGGTAAAGGTTTACCAACTGTTTACCCTCTTGCTAAAGGTTTTTTCAAGGGTTTGTTTTCTTCCACTTAGTCCTTTTTCTTCCATTATCCTTCCACCTCAAAATATTCCATAGCCCCTTCCAAAAACCATAATAGAACAAGGGTTTTGGCTACATTTAAATAGCAGTTTTAACATTTGCTAAGGATGCTGGGCAAGTTACTGAATTTCTTCATGGAGACTGTTTCCTTCTGAAAAAGTTTAAAATACTACCTCTATTCTGAAAGACTGTTAAGGATTAAAACTGACATAGGTAATTCAACCCCACCCTCACAATCTAGGGGCTTGTAGCACCTAGATTAAGAGGCTTAAACTCCTGTACTTTCTCTGATGAATGCAACCGTCTAATCTCTTCATCTTTAACTTTAGTTATTTTGACTTTGGGTCTTCCCAAAAAAGACTATTATTAAAATGGTTCATTTTCACAAAATTCTGTGGCAGGTTACACATTGTAAGACGTAAATTTTGACATCCGATAGGAATTTTTAAATAAAGGCTTTATAAGAGTCATGTATCATTGGTTTTAGTGATTACCTGGTCTTCCTAAAAAAAGAAAAGGACCTGAGTTTGAGTATGTTATACACTGATAGTAACTGCTGCATAATAAATTGAGTGCCCCAGTTAATATTTTAGTGCTGGCCTCACCATGAAAAAGCATATTTGCCTATGTACTAGATCTAACAGGAAACTAGTTTTCTTATGGAATACATCTGATTCTTTTAAATAACAAGTGTAGTTCAAAACAGAGTACTGGTTGGCAGCTTCAGTTCTTCCTTGTTTTACCTTTGTGCTCAGTAACCCAGTTGTGTCTGACTGGTTGCAGCCTCATGGACTATAGCCCTCCAGGCTCCTCTGCCCATGGAATTTTCCAGGCAAGAATGCTGGAGCAGGTTGCCATGTCCTTCTCCAGACAATCTGACCCAGGGGGTTGAACCAGAGTCTCTTTCGTCTCCTGCACTGGCAGGCGGATTCTTTACCACTAGTGCCACCTGGGAAGCCCTTTACCTTTTCATACAGTAATTGATTATTAGGGGAAATGACTTAAAATGAAAATGAAGCTCTTTTAAAGTTCTGCCAACTTTCTATAAGTTTGGACTTTTCTATTTTCTCAAGCTCTTAGCTATGGAGGAATGCTTTTAAAAATCTTTACCAGTAGGACAGTAATTGGGATATTCTAGATTTTCATACCAGGGCACAGAATAACATTGTAAAAAACATAAAAGCCATAAAATACCTCTAAAATGTATATAATACAAATTTAAGAAGTCAACTGTTTCTAAGTTTGCAGCTTCATCAGATTCACTCTGAAAGGTCAACTAAACTTGACGGTGCTTTTGGAGGGAAAAACTCTGGGCAAAAGAACCAAATGGATACTTACTCCTCCTTCCTGCATACTTCTGGGCAATGAACACCTGGACAATTACCATCTATTAAAGACTAGCCTAGCTGCGGATGTCAGACTTCAACACTAGTTTTCCAAAGTCAAGTGTTTGCTCCTAAGTCAAGTGTTTCCTCCAAGCCTACTGCATCTTGCTAAAATGAGTTGGGCTTAAAAGGGGGAAAAAACAAATGCACATCAGTTCCACCAAAAAAATGAAAGTCATGAGCCAGCAAAATAATAATCATGATTTTGGGCCCTCAAGCTGACAGATTAGCTCTTCAAACATTAAAAAACAAAAAAACCCTTTTCTTCTAATGAGCATAACCATGGCTTCTTTAGCTGTGCTGTTTAACTGGGGAAACAAATTACAATTTTAATAATTGTAACAAGTCTACTCTTCCTGTAAAAATGAACTGGTCAAGTGCTTGGTGGAAGTAAACTGCCAGTTTTTTTTCTTTCCAGCAACTAAAAGGTGACTTAAGTATCCAAAATTTGGTATTTTTAGTATAAGTTCAGCTTATTCTCAGATCTGCTCTTCCCTGCTCAAGGCACACACAAACAAAGAAACTTAGGTTGGTGCAGAAATAATTGGGATTCTGCTTTGTTGACCTTTTTTGTTTGACATTGGAATACATTCTTAATCATTTTAATGTGCATTTCATGCTTTTGTTTTTTTGCTAGTGGCTTGTTACTTGCTGTTTGTATTTTAGGCTATGGAAATAATACTAAGACAAAAAGCAATTTGAGTGATTTTCTTATTTGAGTTTAAAATGGGTTGTAAAGCAACAGAGACAACTCACAACAGCACATTTGGCCCAGGAACTCCTAATGAACGTACAGCACATGGTGGTTTAAGAAGTTTTGCAAAGGAGGAGACAGCCTTGAAGATGAGGAGCGCAGTGGCCAGCCATCAGAAGCTGACAACGACCAACAGAGAGCCATCGTTGAAACTGATCCTCTTACAAGAGAAATTGCCAAGGAACTCCACATCGACCATCCTATGGTCGTTCAGCATTTGAAGCAAATTGGAAAGTTGAGAAAGCTCGGTAAGTGGGTGCCTCGTGCACTGCCCACAAAATCAAAAATATTGTTTTGAAGTATTGTCTTCTCTTATTCTACACAACAATGAGCCATTTCTCAAGACTGTGACATGATGAAAAGTGGACTTTATGTGATAACCAGCTCAGTGGTTGGACTGAGCACCTCCAAAGCAGTTCCCAGAGCCAAACTTGCACCCAAAAAAGGTCATGGTCACTGTGTGGTGGCCTGCTGCTGGTCTGATCCACTACAGCTTTCTGAATCCTGGCAAAACTTACATTGAGAAGTGTGCTCAGCCAACTGATGAGATGCACCAAAAACAACAACTCCCACTGCTAGCACTGGTCAACAGCAAGGGCCTAACTCTTCTCCACTACAGGGCCTAACCGCAAGTCGCACAACTGCTTTAAAAGTTGAATGAACTGGGCTATGAAGTTTTGCCTCATCCTCCTTAATCACCTGATCTCTCGCCAACCAGATAGCACTTTGAGAATCTTGACGATATTTTTTTGCAGGGAAAATGCTTCCACGACCAGCAGGAGGCAGAAAATGCTTTCCAAGAATTCACTGAATCCCAAGGCATAGATTTTTATGCTAAGAGTAAACTTATTTCTCGTTGGCAAAAATGTGTTCATTGTAATGGTTCCTATTTTGATTAATAAAGATGTGTTTGAGCCTAATTATGACTTAAAATTCACGGTCTGAAACTGCAATTACATTTGCACCAACTTAATATATACGTAAGCTGAAAGGTAAGTGAAGACCCTCACAGAAATCCAACACCTTCATCTCTGTGTTTTTTTTTTTTTTAAGTACTTACTCTGGCAAGGCCAAAACAAATTCATAGAAAGTCAATATTGATTTCTGAACCTCTTGAGATGTTTCTTAAGAGTACATTTATACAGATATGCTTTTAAAAAAAGATCACAGTATAAGATGATTCAGTAACTTTGGTTTTGTTTAAACTATGGTATTACCTGTTATTTTACCTGCTATGCTCTTCCTCTCCACTGCAGTAAAAATTCAGTCTAACTTGCAACTCAAAAATCCTAGATATAAAGAATGTTTACATTTACTACTGAACTTGTAAATTATCATTTATACTACTTGGTGGTTTCACAGTATAATACAAATACTTAATACAATCCAGTGCATGTTTATTGAACTCTAAATATTTTAACAAATACAAAACCTTATTGGTTTTAATAGATTTTCTTCCCTCTTTTATATTTCAGTTAATACCATGTTGAAGCAAAAATTCAAATCAAAGCTTTAAAAATACTTAATTTGTAAGTGGTATTTTTCACCTTATATAATCACAATCTACAGACATCACACAACTTAAAAACTATGAATTTCCTTTGTCACTTAATGGTTTTCCCTTGCTATTTTAAAGGCAGACACAGCATTAAAACTGCACTGCAATGGAAAGCCACACACATATGCACACCTATCACTATGAAAAAAACAAGCATTTTAAAAAATGAGTTATTACATTAAACGGATATATTTCATTTTGGTTTGATGCCTAAGTCTTCATAATAGCCCATCTTCTGTGGGCTCAGAAAATTGCAGCAACTAAAATTTAAAATTGTTTTTTTGGCAGGTGTTAGGACTGTCCTTTCCTTGAAACAGTCAATAACAAAGTCAAATGCAAAGTTCTGAGAAGACAAATGCAACCATAGCTACATGGGGACCATTAAGTATGGTTCAGTCCATCAGTTTCAGAGCTTCAAGTCCCCTTTCTTGACAAGCAGGGAAACTACGTTAAATTTTGTACAACAAACCTTCATAAGACCAAGCATCATATTTGATTTTAAAACACTGAGAGGTTAACCACCTGCATTTGTAAAATACTATTGGTATCATGCTTCTCACTAAGCATTTCTCAACTTCAGCTTCACACTATGAGACAGGTCTCCCCAGGATTCCTAATTTTTAAGTTTAGTCCAGAGATTCGATCATCATCCTGAAAACAGGATTTCTCAAAGGGTCACATCTACATCTTTGACACAGAGCTCTTGATTTCATGCCATATGCCTGTTTGTAAAAGGAAGGCCCATAGGGCCAAAGGAGGCACAGGTTTACCAAAAAAACTAAAATTCATGAAATAAAAAATTTTATTTTCCCCTCCTACCAAAAATTTACAAACATCTCTATTAAACACAGCCCTTAAAAAGAAAACTAGTTTGTCCTTTAGGATCCAATTTCTTATGTCCAATATAAGGAGTACATAAAGATTTACCGAAACCTTTATTACTTACTCAATATTCTTTTCTGTGGAAATGATGTATGCTTTATCACTGTATCAATGCTGGCAGCTAAGACTTTACCTATCGGTTAACACACCCTGGAGATTTTAAAAACACTTTATTTAATAAAAGTTAAACATACAAAAACTGAAATTAACACACATCTTAAAAATCATCTTCTTCCACTAATAGGAAGACCCTTTTCTATGTATATATTTGGCTTAAACTCAACTCAGGGTAATTGTGAAGTTCACTTATCAACAAATGCTGACAACTTGATCTAGTTAACAAAAATTATAAACTCAGCTACATGAACATAATATACAGGGAAATTATGGTCAGATTAATGCACAAGAAATACAGTAAATTTTTAATGATGAAACATTCAGTACTCTTGTTCATTAATTTAGCCTTGTTTTTTACAAAAATAGTATCTACACTGTATACAGGGCTATACATCAGCTTTTTGTTTTCTCATATAAACATTACACATCCAAAAAATGTCACCACTACCATTAAGTGAAAATCAACACAGGAGGAAAGCAAAAAAAAAAAAAAAAAAAAAAAAAAAAAGAACATTAGAAAAGGTAGCTGGTCCTAAACATGGTTTCTTACATAAAACTAAAATTCAATGAAAAGAATAAAGAGCTGGATCAATTTTAGAGATGGCCTAATAGCCTTAGGAAGCAAGTTATTGAGAAAAACCTCAAAAAAGAAAACTTTGCCATTTACCAATTAACCTAGTTTTAAGTTAATTGGGCAATAGCTAAATTTAAGCTGAAGATAAGAAAAACAATGAAGAGAAATTCTTTTTAGCACATTGGTATTTTGCCTTGATGTTCCAGGGAATTGCTAGAATATGTGGCACGTTCAAAGCATCTGAAAATTCCCAGTTAGAACTTTACAAAAAGTATTTACGATCCACTAAGTGGGTACTGATACTAGGAAGATGAATAATTCATTTAAGTGCTGTATCTATGCAGCATTTATCTAGAAAAGTTGCTTTATCCAATAAACTTTGAGGAAACTGGTAGTAGTAATGAAAAAAAAGTTTAAATGAGTAGCAGTTATTAAATGCAATTTCAAGTTTCATTCTATTGAAGTCAAACAATGACGACAATGGTATCTTCCTTACTCATCTAACAAATAATTTACCTTTAGAAAAATATAAGGATAAAAAGGTAAATGTAAAGCCCTGCAGAGATGAAATCCAACAGTTTTTCTGACTATTGCGGCATCAAATGCCGAACATTGTATTTGGAGGTATCCTGATACTGTGTCATAGGTTTATCAGCGATTCCACAAGTTCCCACTCCAACTTTGCCAGTGACGCTCTCAGGTGAAGCAAAAATACTCCTCTTTACCTAGAGGAAACAAAACAAGAAGAGTTCTTGATTGGTTTTGGAAAAAAATAAAATTTCAAAATACACCTTTAAGGAAAAGTACATCAAGAAAACTTGAGTGCTCAAAAAATCCTCCAGTGTTACCCAACATAAGTAAGGTTCAATACACTCTATAAACAAATAGCTTTTCAAATTTTAGCTTATAAAAGAAAATAACCTATATCTTTTGTAATTCCTAATATAATATAACCTCATTCACAGTGCTTCCACTGCAGAGACAGTGGCTAATGGGGATATTTTATATTAAGTCAAAAAGAAGATTAAAGAGGATTCTGAAGTCAAGATCCAGTTTATTTTTTTAAATCTCATTGAACCTCCTTTTTCATTTTAAAGTTATTTTAATGACAGCCGCGCTCTGCAAATTTACAAAGTATGTGTGATGAAAGGATTTACTAACCTGGCCTTTTTTGTTTTTAGAATAGGCTCTGTTGTTGAACTGTTGCCATTTCACCTTCTGGTCCTCTCTTTCTTGTTCAAGTTCTTTTATTCTCTGTGCTTTTTTCAAAGCTTTCTTCTTTTTATATTCACGCTGCTGGGCAATCATTTCTTTTCTGTGTGGACAGAACAGGTAAATGTCAACTCAAAATGACTTCAACTAAAAGATGACTTCAGTGCAACCACTTTCCCGCCAAAGAAACCCCAAAATCTAATAAGCTTACACACTTTTCCCTCCACAAATAAAAGCACTAACATCAATGCCAATCACTCAGGACTAATAATAAATAAATGTTATTTGGAATATACAGTATCCGTGGAAGCTTTAAACACAACTGTAGTGATCTATATTACCCTTTTAAATCCAATATTTCAACTGAATTTTAATTTGTCATTTATATAGCTTTTACAAGTTTTTTTTCAAGAAAAAGATGAGTTTCAACATGAAAAGCTAACTAAACCTTTATCAATTTTTAAATAGGGAGTTAGCAAGTATGATATGCTGCATTTGGAAAATGCAAAGATTCAATGCAGATAAAACTATTTCATCTAGATTGGAAGAGCTCAGCAGCACAAAGGGAAATCTTAGTAAGCAATTCTTATAACAACAACTAGCGTTTTCCAATCAGAGCCTAAAGTTCTCTCAGTAATTCCTGCTAAGTTAACACTGACTTATCACCAAAGGAATGACTATAGAGGTCTTCAAAATGAGGTTAATATGATTCAGACTTCTCTGTATCATAGAATCACTTCCATGAAGTATGGTTTTTGACACAATGCCAAAGACTAAAAATAGAAATGTCATGTTCTACAATCTATTTTTCTTATTGGGATGCTTAAATCAAATGTTACTGTTAATAGATGACTTATTTTCCCAAATTCAAATATATTTATGTAGCAAATTAAGTTCTCAAAACACCTAGACAAATCCAAAAGAGAGCAAACTGTGACAAATACGCAGAAGTTAACTGAAAACTGTTAATTCCATCTCCTAAATAACTCTCAAACCATACATCCTTACTGCTACTCCCTGGGTTCAGGTCACCATCATCTTATACCTAGATGATAGCAGTAGCTGCCTTCTCTCTGCTGCCACTCACTAATCACTCAAAAGTTGAAATATGAACATATCAAATCCTCTCCACTTGAAATGCATCAGTGGCTTTCTAGCTCTTTATGATCTGGCCTCTACCTTTCTAACCCTTTCTCTTGTTAAACCACCCACCCTCAAGCCCCAAGTTTTTAACCAAAGGATTTCTATTACTTCTATGTCCCCCACCACCCATTTTTTGGTTTTAAATGTAAATGTTACTTCTTGTTTAACTTAACTTACTTGTTAAGTCATGTCTGACTCTTTGCAACCCCATGAACTACAGCCCGCCAGGTTCCTTTGTCCATGGAATTTCCCAGGCAAGAATATTGGAGTGGGTGGCCATTTCCTTCTCCAGGGCATCTTCCTGACCCAGGGATCGAACCCACATCTCCTGCATTGGCAGACAGGTCTTTATCACTGAGCCACCAGGGAAGCCTAGGTGTCAAGAACTGTGCTACATGTTTTACTCAAGCTTTATCAATGAATCCTTACAACCCCATAACAGAGATACTACTATTCCTGTTTTACAGATGAGGAATCAGAAAGCAAGCAGCTTGCTCAAGATCATACCTTCTAGAGTTCATTAACTGGCCAACATCCGTCCTTTTCAAATCTCAGTTTACATGTCATTTCCTCCAAGAAATTTGCCCTCATGACAAAAATGCAGCTTATTACCTTTTCTTTGTTCTCTAAAAGTATCTGTTGTGTTCCCTCCATTACTTCTACACTAAAGTTCTTCTTTAATCATGTGTCTAGTCTTTAGATTGTAAACGCAGTTAGGACAAAGCCTAATTTGGTCTTCTTTGCTGCAGTGGAACCCAGAACCTGGTTTAGTGAGACATACATAGTATCCTCTTAATAAATATGTATTAAATGCCTAAGCAGGAACTCCAAAATGTCTTCACTTTACCTAGGTATACGTATTAATAGACACTGTTAACCATACACTGCTAACCTTCAAAATTAACTGCTAACTGTTCAATTATAAACAGTATTATAACTTTCATACCCTAATCTAGCCTGCACAGATTCTGCAGACAACCTCAAATACCCAAATGGGAAAAATTACATTTAAAATGTTAAAGTCAAAGTCACTTACTTTGACATGGGTTTGTTGCCACTGTCTTCCTTTGCCTTCCTTCCTTCTTCTACAGGCTTGAGGTTCAACAGTGGAGTCACTTCAGCATTGCCATAGCCAGCAAAAGTGATTGCAGCGGTGCCGTTTTCTTCATCTATCTCCTCAATCTCCGCTTCATAACACCTGTAAAGATATCATGGCTGTAAGCAGGTGAGTAAAGGTTTAGTACTCAGCCTATAAGACTTATACTGCAGTGATTCAACTATTAAATGTGTCTAAGATGAAACTTATACAATCAAATGTACCTTTGGCAAAGATAATACGAAAGAGCAGCTAGAATTAGCCATTGCCTTTTAAGGAAGTCCCAATCAAAATATTGCCCGGAAGTCTCTGACACATCTACTAAATGTGTTTTAGTCAATTTCTGTGAGAAAACATACTTCTTATATGAATCATTTCAGTATATGTGGTCTAAGAGAGCCAACCATTACTCAATTTTCAATCCAAGGAAAAAAGAACTTTTAGACTGTATTAAAATAAAGAAAATCCATTCACTTTCCTCTATTTCGTGTCTATTTCCTCTAGCATCCAAGCCATTCTTCTGCCCTAAAACTTACTCTAAAGCTATATTAATGGTAACCACCTAAGAATCACACTGGTTGTGTAAGTCTATCAGCTATATAAAGACTAAAATAGAGTAGTTCAAGCTGAATAAAAGTCACCTTACCATTGTACTTTACTAGTTCATGTTACAGTTACAGTTTTTTTTCTACACTTACTGTCCATCTTCACTCCAGATTGCCATACACTTGTCTCCCACTTTCCATGAATGAGTGGGCTGAGTAGAAGCAAAGTTGTCTGAACTTGCCAGAGTTTCAGAAGGCTGAGTTGATAGAAGGTCTTTGGTTAGTTCAATAACCTCCTAAAAAGGAAAAACAAAAACCATTATCTTTATAATTCACATTGTCACCTACTTTCAACAAGAAAGTTCTTTCAGTTTTTGATAACAGCTCTCATGCCATGTAGCACTCATTAACTACTCTACACATATTTGCAGTTCATAACGATACTACGATGTAGATACTGTGATTATTCCCATGTAGAAACTAAGATAAAACATTTTATACAGTGGTGGTCAGACTTAAACCTAGGCAGTTGCCTTTCAATTTAATTAACCTCTAATACTAACAGAAATACAGTGGACTTGAATTTACACTGTACATTATTTTTAACCACCTATTTTAGCTAAACAGATCTCTCTAAAGGTGATAAATAGTCAGGCACTGAACTAGATTCAAGATCCTTTTATCTCATTATCACTGTCACATGAACTTTTTACAGGGCATTGCTTGGCAGTAGTATTAACTGCCTAGCCAACAGGGATGCTCTCCTCGCAAAAAAAATAACCCCCAAAAAACTTAAAGGAGCATTAATAAAAATGTTCCTGCTCATATGTATTTCTACTAAAATACTATAGGCATATATAAAAAAACAGTAGTTTTTCTATTCATTTATTCTAATACTTAACCCATCTGGGTAAGCAAATTACCAAGTCAGATTTAAAATATCCCAATACTATAATGTTAAACACATTAGCACAGCTTCAACTAAAAGGAAAAAGTAAAATAAATATAACAGACAGGCAGGCAAAGCCTTTCTGTGTGACAAATACATTTTCTAACTTAGGCTTACACTTACTGCTGCTGCCAAGTCGCTTCAGTCGTGTCCAACTCTGTGCGACCCCATAGACAGCAGCCCACCGGGCTCTGCCGTCCCTGGGATTCTCCAGGCAAGGACACTGGAGTGGGTTGCCATCTCCTTCTCCAATGCATGAAAGTGAAAAGAGAAAGTGAAGTCGCTCAGTCGTGTCTGACTCTTAGCGACCCCATGGACTGCAGCCTACCAGGCTCCTCCTCCATGGGATTTTCCAGGCAAGAGCACTGGAGTGGGGTGCCACTGCCTTCTCTGCTTACACTTACTGAATTCATTCAAAGGTGTTTGGTAGAGTTGGTTAAAAAACTTAATAAAAACAAATTGATAGATTCTGCTACCAATCTGCTATATTTTTACTCTGATGAAGACTCATCCTTTGCTGCTGCATATAAAATACCTTAAACATCACACTGTATGTTTTGGGAGAAAAATTAGCAAAGTTACACCCTGTATTCAGTTTCTCCTGGCTCCCACTGAGGTTTAATAATAGCCAAGCAAGTGAAATATTACTTTTCTCCTAAAGATTTTAAATCTTCCCAGCTAGTTCTTAAAAACTTATATTTGAGCCTTAAGGGGGGGAGGGAGATTATTAAAGCCCTTGGAGAAAGATCAGTTTTATGAATAAAAAAATTTTACAAATGAAAATACTAGAAAATTCAGATTTAAGTTGTAAATTCAGTAGATTAATATCTTTAATGAAGTTCTATTAGGTGCCAAATAGCCATTCAAATACCTTTTAATTAGACAATCCTTTGCAAATAAGCAAGGGATGTCCAAATAGATGATGTACTACACAAAGAAGGAGAGTAAATTATCCAGTCTTGTTTTTAATTAACCACTTTCAGCACTAGGAATTTAATCCAGTAAGTCTGACTCAAAAGCCTATACAATTCCTATTATTAAATAATTCCATTTAACTAGGGATCACTGGACTACTAATGCACAAACATAAGTCTGTGTTTTTAGATCTCAAGATTTAGAACTCTACTTCTCTTAAAATAAAACATCTTTCTACTATGTTTTCATAAAAAAATACATTTTAACCAAAGAGAAGGGTCCTGAAAAGCTATGCAGTTATAATTTCCAGGGCCCTGCACTGAAAAGACACTTTAAAAAAATCCAAAGCATTTATTTCTACCTGTCTTTTCACTTTGCCATGTTATATACACATACCCCTCCCAACAATTATGAAGACCCTTCTAAATGTCTTTTTTTTATTCACATGTGCATATGGACCAAAGTATTATAAATATGATTTCATGTATGAGGGAGTTCTTAAAGGTACATACCATTAATTACTTTTCCTCCCCCAAGTCTGAGTTCTGAAACTGCTCCTTCATTGACAGATGGGCAGCAGTTACAGTAATCGGCAATTCCAGGAAGCATCAGATGTTGTGATCTACATATCAGCAGGTCAAAGGGGGTGCACTCAAGCACTCTGCTTACTGAAGGAAGGCGTTTCGGGGATGCAGAGAGCCACTGTAATATATGAGACAAGTGACTTGACCCCTGCCTCCTTTAGAACCAGTTTATTCAGCAAAACAGCCTAATAAATTGACTATTTTTTGTGATTATCACAGACTGCCTGGGGAGCTAGTCAACTAGCTAGCCTGGATTTACTAAACTCACTTCTTTAAAGTGAAAAAAGAAAACAAATTAGGATTTCAGAAGATTGATTTGCTGCCTATTGAGTAACTTTATATGAAAGACAGTGTGTGAAGAGATAAACATAGAAGCCTTACTGGCAAAATGAAAGTCACTAGAAAAAATGCAGAAAAAGGATTCTGCATAAATGAAAGTGCAAATTCTTAACCAGAGTAAGGATATTCCATAAAAGGAACACAAAAAAATAAAGGAGACTACAAACTCAGTCATCAGTCTGAGACTTTTCAGCAAATATAAAAGGTAGAGTTAAATACCAATGGCACAAGGCATATCTCAGAAAGCAAGGAAGGAAAGGATTTTTTTAAAAAACAAAAACCTATGACAAAATAGAAGCTGTAGCTATAGTCAATGGAGATAACAATTACTAGACAGAAGCAGATAGCAAAATATTTTTCAGAATTTTACCTAATAATAAATGATGTGTTCCATCTTTGAGTAGTTTCCAGTTCAAAAACAAACCTATATCTAGTAACCAAAATCATTGCTTTTTTTCCACGAGAGGAAAAAATTTGAGGTCAAGGTTGGTCGGGAAAAACACTCTCTGTTATTGCTAACTGAATTGTTAGAACATACGCTTCTAAATCTGTGCCATCTGATATGGTTGCCACATATGGTTACTTAAATAAAATTAAAAATTCAGTTTTTCAGCTATCCTAGTCTAATTCCAAGTATTTGACAGCCCATGTACCTAGCAGCTATAATATTGTACAGCAGATATAGAACATTTCCATCACCACAGAAAGTTCTATTGGACAATGTTTTTCAAAATGGTTATTTAAAAAAGAATATTTTACAGAACGACCTCCAGGTCATTATTAACTGAACCCTAAGTAAGCAATTTACCTGGTCACTACAATGCCTACAACAATGGTCTCCCTCCCTACAGTATTTCCACTATAGATCATGGCCTAACACAATTCTGCCCAGACTCTGAAATGTATCCCAGAAATACTAAAATACCAAGACTCATAATAATGCTGTCTTCACTCCCAACTCCCCGCTTCACCAGTTCCACACATACCCCTCCCTCTTACTGCCAATTAAATACAGGAAACAATGTATACAATATTGGCACAATGTTTTATTTTCTTCAAAGGAAAAAAGAACTGCTTTTAAGTTGCTTTTTAATAGAGAGATAGGTAGGTCAGGCTCTCTAAGGCAAGCAGAAAGTTGGCCTGAGATGAGAGAAACTGCTCCCAAAACATCTTTTTCTTACTGACTGGCTCCCTGAAATTCACTGGCCTGACTTCTACATACTGATGAGAGGCCTTGGTTTCTGTGTTTGTTTTTTGTTTTTTTAAATAACATACTATTGCAACTTCATGCATGTCTCATGCACGTCTATCCTAAGTCCAGAAATTGAACCTGAAAATATTCAACTCATTTAAATTATGCCCAGGTAAGCTCTTTTAGAATTGAGTCTCTTCCCCATTTAAAATAAGTTTTGTTTGTTTGCAGTTCTACAATCCCTAAAATACTGATAGTTTTAATTAGCAAGACGATGATATTAAATGGAGAGAAATGATATGTAGCATGAAGATGATCTGAGTTGTTTTGAATCAGTGAAGATAAGTCATCTAATCAAAACGTCTTTTAAAACTCTCCAAAAAATTAGATTCAGAATTAGATGAAAAGCCATAGATATTTACAAATATTATATATGGTATTTTTATTAATCAACCTAGTGTTGTAAGAAACAACAGATATTTACTTCTATGGCTTTATGTTGTCTTGAAACCCCAGAGCAAGTTTTAAAAAGCTGGTTTCATACTTACTGCTCTTCCAGGACAAAAAGAACACATTAAATTAAGATTGCCTTTTTACATAGATTCGGTTTAATTTCAAGTTGCTAACAACTGTCAACAATTACATATAAGACGTAGCCTTAAGTTCAAACATTATGTAACATTTATGCAGAAAACAAACATCTCTTTAGGTATTTTTATAATGTGTTTTCAACACAAGGACTAGAGCTAGCTTTGTTAAACTTACACACACAAAGGATCTCTGGCATGGGTGCTTTATTTCATTTTCAAAGAAATCTTGTGGCATTGAAAAGAATTTGATACAACCTGATTAGGTTATATTTTCCTCCTTTAATTTTAGTTATCCTTTGAAGTAAAATTCGTTTTCCAGGTCTTGAAAAACAGAAATGTTATCCACTATCAAGTTATATGTTATCTCTTTCTCTAGAGTGATAGTGACTTATAAAATTAACTCTTACTTTTAAAAATTATAAGAGCGTATAAGTGTGACACAACAAAGAACTATGTTTCAACTGTTTTGAGGTACACAAACTAAGGAAGCAATCCTTCTCCTAGAAGCCATGTATGCCTCTGTGCTGCACATGTACACACAAGGGGTGTGAAGGGGAGAAACACTCCCTCCAAAGGTATTTTGGGTACCCATAGATTCTAGGCAATAAGCCACTTATAAGCCACAGAAATACTCCTTTCAAGCAATGAAATTAGTAAGTATCCCCATACTTACTTGTAAATCTTTCTTTAATTTTAGTAAATCTTCATTTTCTCCATTTCCAGACAGCGCAGCCTCAACTTGCTGGAGTTGAGCTTTGTAGCTTGCCAGCTGCTTTGCTAGATCCTCTGACATCTGGTGAAAATAAAGTCAAGTCATTAAAACAGAAACAAAAAAATCAAAACATAAAAAAAAAAATTTTTTTTTTGGTCGGCCTGAATTAACCCTTACCAATTTTGTTCCCAACTCCTTATTATAATTCACTGCAGCATAATTTATTACTAATACCTTTACTTGCAGTTCAAAGAAAAGCTGTGCGCCAAACCACAAACTTCAAGTATTCTGAAGATTATAAACATCTAAGATATATTCCATATAGAAACAGAAAACGAGATAAGGTTAAAAAGGAGAATAATTTCTAATTTTCTTTAAACTACTAACAGGGAAGAGACACTGTGTTAGGCTCAAGGAAAAGGACTGTTATACCATCACCAAAAAATAAAACAGAAGGAACTAAAGAGTTGACAGAATTGAAAAAATAAAATAGAAGGCAGTAAACTGTTAAGTTGAGGCTTCCGATTTTTAAGGGCTAAAAAGTACTTCGAAAGCCAAATATAAATGGCTTCGGATTAACTAGACAAATAACTTTCTCCACAAGAGCTGTAATACGAGTGTTTAGAAACTTCTTCACAGTGCAAAAACCTTTCACCCAGTCACTTAAATACTGCCAATGCATTTTTCCGCAGTAAAAGAAACATCACAGATACTCTCCAGTTTACGCAATCTAAAGTGCGTGCCTTTCACCAAATCCAGCTCTACTTTTGAAAATAAGACCGGAGAGAATTCTTCCTCGTTTTATTAGCAAACGTACAGGGTTTCCGAGACCCGTCTGTTACAAATCCCGGCCAACCACAGCCCGGAGCCTGGAAGGACTTCAAAAGGGTTGGTGCAAGCCAGGCTGCTCCCCTTCAGTCACCCTACACCTCAAAGCCCGCCACAACTAGCTCGACCATTTCAGACCTCGAAATTCCAACAGCTTCCAAGGAAACCGAAAACAAGAACGGAGCCGAGGACCCAGGAGCCGGAGCCCCACCCGCAAACAGGCTCCGCACAGAAGGGCCGAAGGCGTCCTTAAGATGCCTCCCGCGACCCAACCCCACCCGTCGGGTTTCCGCGGCTAGCCCAACTCCGTTCAGGGACGCTCAGGGCTCAACTCTGCGTGGAAGAGGAGGCCGGCGCCCGGGCGTCTCCATCGCGGCCTCAGCCTCTGGCCTCCGGTTCAACTCGTGAGAGGTCGAGGCCCAGCGAGGCCTCACTGTCTCCTTCATCGCGTTACCTTGTGTGGGGTTGGGAGAGTGGCGACGGGAAGGGGTAAGGGGCAAATGAGCCCAGCGGTGGCAGCAACAGCAGCAGCAACAAAAAAGTCCGCGTCGACAACTAGTTAACCCGGGCTAGAAACTCGGATCTCAACCGGGAGTGAACTGGAGAGGACTAAAACCGGGGGCTGAAGGAGGTATAGAAGAGGCGGGTGAAGTATCGCGAGAGGTTAAAAATCCTCGCGAGATCTCTCTCGAGTCACGTGATTCCTAGCGCCCTCTAGGCCGCCGGTCCTTAATCACGTCATGGACGTGAAGTGGACCGTGCGGGGAGCGGGGGGGAGGCGGCGCGGAGGGGTAGACGGAGCGGGAGGCGGCGGGGCGGGTCTCATATGTAGGAAATGACGTACTGGGATGCGCCAGGCGCCGGATGTAGGTTCGTTTTATCTTAGTTCCGGCTCGGAATGGGGAATCCGTTTGATTATTTTAGGTGTGGGCGCATTCCGACGGATCCTGAGGTTCCCAGGGTGCTGGGTGTCGGAAAGAACTTGGTCTAGTGCAGTATTCATCCTAGAGGTTGGTTCTCAGAGTTTGGTCCCAGCACCATCAGCATTGCCTGGTATTTATTTTTTACAGTAATTTATAATTTATTGCAAAAATAATGTACTATAAATACATACTTTCAATACCCACCTCAGACCTTTGAATCAGAAACGTTGAAGATGGGCTTAGCAGCCTGTTTCAGTAAACCTTCTAGGGGATACCAATGTCCGCCCAAGTGTGAGAACCTTCATACTAATAGAATAGTAAAAGTCTTAATGGCAACAGAAAGCTGATTAGATTGTGGCAGAACCTATTGGACAGTAGATTAGATTATTTAAAACCTATTTTGACCTTTCGAGGGTGGTTACCCAGGCTGTGGACCGCCCCAGGAGCAGGAGCTGTTTACCGTTGTAAACAAAGGCCTTTCGTACCATTAAAAACAAACAAATTATTTTGTAAGCACTTACTGGTTTTAATTAAGTTATATAGGTTAATGCCACCCGCAAGGGAACAGTCTTTAAGTTATAATCTTGAATATAAGCAGATTGTGTAAGCACTTAACGTTTAAAAAGAGATGTGTATTAAGTGTAATAATATATACTATTTATGGACGGGTATACAAATCTATCTAGAGATTTGGAGTGGAACCCAAATATTTTCACTGATTATCCTTCCTACTTTTAATCTTCCCCCCATACGCGTGTAATTTTTTCCAATTAAAAAAAAAAAACACTAAAAATACCTGAGACGCGAAGAGGCTCTATGAATGTCAGGAAAGTTCCCTGTTTCGTTTTGTACAAACACACACATCCCTCATTGAGTCAGAAATCCTGTAGAGATGAAACCAGGTTAGGTTTGTGGCAGTCAACTTGTAAGAACTGAAAATGCTGCAGAGGGCAGCCACGTGTAGCCAGAATTAAGAAGGAAGACAAACCAGAGGGGATGTACTTTATTAGAAATATGTTAAAAACACGATGTAGTTTTTGACAGTTGCTCTTATTTTAATTGTATATTTTAAGAACTAACGTCAGGAGGATCTTCCTTGAAAATAAACTTTACAGCTGTGTAAGTTTGTTCACGTAAGAACTCTTCATGAACCCCCTAGATCAGAGAATAGGAAAATATGTATAAGCTACAGTGAAGATTTTTGATAACTTTGTTTTTAGCATTGCTTTTGATCTCTCCTTCTGTGCAACATAGAGTATATTTGAAAAGGAAATTTATATTGAATGTTATTCTCACAAAGAGATAACAGTTGCGTGTGCCAGGCAGCATTATAAACTCTACATATATTCATTTATTTTCCACTGTGATTTGGTGTGTTTTTAGATCTTCAGTCTAAGGCTCTCCCAACTGAGCTATTTTGGCCACTTGGTGTGTTTTTAAAGACAAAACTGAAGCAAGTATAAACTTTGACTAAGTCTGCTACTTCAAATAGGTGTTCTGACTTACCACCTCCTTTGAAGTGTCAAAATCCTCTTTCAGTGTCGGATTTTTCTTAAAACATTCTGACTCAAAATTTAATCATGTTTATTCTTCAAAAAGAACAGTATCTAAAACCTCTAGTTCTTTAAACCTGGTATTTATTTTAATGAACTCAGTAAGTAAATAAAATTTAAAGATGCCACAGCTATTTCCTTTCACTCCTAAAGAAAATTAAAGCATAGCCATGCGTTTGAAAATGCACCAACTCTTTCCAGAGCATAAAACTATGCAGTAAATTCATACATTAATACATGTTGGTTAAATGGGACGTTGCTTCTTTAGCTTAGCTTTTATCATATCTCTTCACTAAAGTAGCCCCAGATTTTCCTACATTTTTGCTATTTGTACAGATGCCTAATGTGATGAGAGATGTGCACATAGTAATAATAACAATACCCTTTGCCCTTTTTAGTCATAAGTGTTTTGAATGTTGACATGGGGATTTGTTGCAGGGCAAGCTATTGGCTTTTTCTGCCTATTGAGTATTTGAGGGGAGGGGGTACAGTGCATTCAGAACATATCCTGGGATGACTCTTAGGTGGTATCATCCATTTAAGTTTGATGGATAAACAGCCTTGCTGATGAATACAGTTGCTCACCCATCAGAGCAATCCTGATTTGTTCAGTGAAATATGCATTGTCTTGCTAGTCTTTAAGATGTACATTTTCAGCCATTCTGTATCTCACGTGTACCATCAGAGAACAGAAAGCACGCCACTGAAAACAGAAAACAAGGATTTGTTCAGTTTGAAAAGATGATAGTCTAAGGCTTTAAAAGGATCAGAAATAACAGAGTCATCGAATTTCTTCAGATCAATTTGAACGTGATGTTTAACTGTACCCCTATTTTCTCAGTTTAACTGTACTATTTTCTCAGGAATATATTCTGAGGGTAAAAAGAACAGAAACAAAAAAGTCTCAAACATCACAGATATATTGCTAATAGTAGTATTGGTAAGGTAAGATAATTTTAAAACTTTTATGTCTACTCTAGATAAAGTTAATAATTAGTAAGTTTTTGTTAGTTAAAACTCTAATAAGAGGGAACAAGTATTAAATAAGAGGGGAAAATATTTTAAAAAGAAGTTTTTTTTTTTTGTAAAGTCCTCTGGTGTTAAATTTGAATTTTGAATATATATTTATACATCTTAGAAGTAATGTTACCCTAGTGGAGGGTGCCCATATCTTGATATCTAAATACCATTCCCCATGAGAGGAACAGTATTTCTTGGAAAAATGATGGATTTAGGGTCTCAGGCCAGAAAGTACAACAGTGCAAACCTGAGCCTGGAGCATCTTGCCAGAAAACAAGGAAGTGCCCCAAAACAATAATCCTAATAAGGATCAAGTCAAAAACTCACAGAACCCAGCCTGAGGGGACTGCGTTGGCCAAAGATGAGTCAGTCTTGACATTAAAAGAATAAAGACTATGATCAATTATCAAATCGTTCAGTCAGTTCAGTTCGGTTGCTAAGTTGTGGTGGACTCTTTGCAACCCCATGGACTGCAGCATGCCTGGCCTCCATGTCCATCACCAACTCCCTGAGTTTACTCAAATTCATTTCCATTTACTTGGTGATGCCATCTAACAATCTCATCCTCTGTCATTCCCTTCTCCCACCTTCAATCTTCCCTAGCATCAGGGTCTTTTCAAATGAGTCAGTTCTTTGCATCAAGTGGCCAAAGGATTGGAGTTTCAGCTTCAGCATCAGTCCTTCCAATGAATATTCAGGACTGATTTCCTTTAGGATGGACTAGTTGGATCTCCTTGCTATCCAAGGGACTCTCAAGAGTCTTCTCCAGCACCACAGTTCAAAAGCAACCCTTTGGTGCTCAGGTTTCTTTATACTCCAACTCTCACATCTGTACGTGACTACTGGAAAAACCATAGCTTTGACTAGATGGACCTTTGTTGGCAAAATAATGTTTCTGCTTTTTAATCTGCTGTCTAGGTTGGTCATAACTTTTCTTCTAAGGAGCAAGCGTCTTTTAATTTTATGGCTGCAGTCACCATCTGCAGTGATTTTGGAGCCCCCCAAAATAAAGTCTGTCACTGTTTCCACTGTTTCCCCATCTATTTGCCATGAAGTGATGGGACCAGATGCCATGATCTTAGTTTTCTGAATGTTGAGCTTTACGCCAACTTTTTCACTGTCCTCATTCACTTTTATCAAGAGGCTCTTTGGTTCTTCTTCACTTTCTGCCATAAGTGTGGTGTCATCTGCATATCTGATATTATTGATATTTCCCCTGGCAATCTTGATTCCTGTTTGTGCTGCATCCAGTCCAGCATTTTCCATGATGTACTCTGCATATAAGTTAAATAAGCAGGGTTACAATATACAGCCTTGACGTACTCCTTTCCTGATTTGGAGCCAATCTGTTGTTCCATGTCCAGTTCTAACCGTTGCTTCTCAGGAGATTTCTCAGGAGGCAGGTTAGGTGGTCTGGTATTCTGATCTCTTGAAGGATTTTCCAGTTTGTTGTGATCCACACAGTCAAAGGCTTTGGCATAGTCAATAAAGCAGAAGTAGATGTTTTTCTGGAACTCTCGTGCTTTTTCAGTGATCCAGCAGGTGTTGGCAATTTGTTCCTCTGCCTTTTCTAAATCCAGCTTGAACATCTGGAAGTTCTCGGTTCACGTACTATTGAAGCCTGGCTTGGAGAATTTTGAGCATTACTTTGCTAGTGTGTGAGATGAATGCAATTATGTGATAGTTTGAGCATTCTCTTGCATTGCCTTTCTTTGGGATTGGAATGAAGACTGACCTTTTCCAGTCCTGTGGCCAATGCTGAGTTGTCAAAATTTGCTGGCATATTGAGTACAGCACTTTCACAGCACCATCTTTTAGGACTTGAAATAGCTCAACTGGATTTCCATCACCTCCACTAGCTTTGTTCCTAGTGATGCTTCCTAAGGCCTATTGACTTTGCACTCCAGGATGTCTGGCTCTAGGTGAGTGATCACACCATTGTGGTTATCTGGGTTGTGAAGATCTTTTTTGTGTAGTTCTTCTGTAGTTATTCTTGTCACCTTTTCTTAATATCTTCTGCTTCTGTTAGGTTCATACCATTTCTGTCCTTTATTGTGCCCATCTTTGCATGAAATGTTCCCTTAGTATCTCTAATTTTCTTGAAGAGATTTCTAGTCTTTCCCATTCTATTGTTTCCTCAATTTCTTTGCATTGATCACTGAGGAAGGCTTTCGTATCTCTCTCTCCTTGCTATTCTTTGGAACTCTGCATTCAAATGGGTATATCTTTCCTTTTCTCCTGTGCCCTCTGATGGATAAGGATAAGAGGCTTATGGGAGCTTCCTGATGGGAGAGACTGACTGAGGAGGGAACTAGAGGTCTTGTTCTGATGGGCGGGCCATGCGCAGTGAATCTTTAATCAAATTTTCTGTTGAAGGGCAGGGCTGTGTTCCCTCCTTGTTATTTGACCTGAGGCCAAACTATGGTGGAGGTAATGAAGATAATCAAATCATTAAATACATTAAAAAAAAAAATCCTAAGTCCGGAGTGATACTCAAAATTAAGGGTTGGGGAAGGCATTTTTATTTCTTTTTTTAAAAATTATGTTGTTTGTATGA